GCTCCGCCTGGCCACGCCTCGCTCCGCCTGGCCAAGCCTTGCAACGCCTCCTTACGCCTTCCCCGCGCTAAACGTGCAACTCGTGAAACAGCCGACCGCCTCGGGCGATTTCCTGACGCCTCGCACCGACGCGCTCGCCGACGCGCGCGAAGGCATGCCTTTAAAAGCACTGTTTAAAATCTTCCAAAACTCATTGAAAAGGTTTCTATTCAATTTTGCATGGTTCAATGGAAGAAAGTTCGGAACTTTCTTTCTTGAAAGTAATTCTGGTTTTATTTTGTGTCTCTGCTTTTATTTGCTTTGAGCTTCTTACAAGGTCTGGTTCTAGACTCGCAGGAACAAGTACTGCTTTTTTTTAATCTAGCAGTTAAGAGTTATCTAGCAGGTTGTCCAGAATATATTGTGCAGTGAATTTCAGTTTTGGGTTTAATTTCAACTTTCTACTGTGTAAATGCTACTACAAGGATACTTCAGCTATTTTCAAAGAGCTTAAGATTCTTTCAAGTTTGAGCCAAACCCTTTTATTGTACTCACTACCTCTGATCAAGCCAGGAAGCTCAGTAAGTTCCTACAGTTGCTGGTCTTCTGAGAACAACAACACATGGCGTGCAGATAATTATCCTTTCTTGTACTGATTGGGGGCCATGCTCACCTCTTAATTGATGTAAATTTTTTGAGGTTGCTAGTGTAGTAAAACCCAAAGACATGCAGATTCGATGGATTATTTAACAGAGAACCTTACATCACACCTGGATTGAAGCTTATACGATTGCACTAAAAACTCTGTTATCACACACTACTTACTTCTTGATGTTGCATGTACAATTTTATTTACAATCTGTCATTAAGAGTTTGTTGGTGTTATTATGATTTCTTTCCCCCCTCTCTTTTTCTCCCAAAGATAGTTTAAGGATATTCATTAATCATATTTGTTTTTGTAGGCGAGTAGAGTCTTAGAGCTGCACGATGGGTCGAAGCAGAAATAGAAGACGGAAGCAGCAGAAGCTTGTTAATCTGGATTGGACAGAGCTGCCTCGGGGTATCCTTGAGATCATCTTTGAGCGACTGACTGTGACTGATTGTAATAGAATTGGTCAATTTGATGGAATTTTGGATCACCCGATATGTATTGAAATTGAACCACATGTGATGAATGGAAAGATAATGCTTTCAATTTTATATATAAAAGAGTGTCCTTGTAGAAACAGTCTCTACGCCCAAACAAAACAACTTTCAATAAAATAAAATTCTAAAATATAATTACTGCAAGCACCGACCACGCAGGGGGATATAATCTGTCTGATATTTTTCTACTTACAAAAGCCTTGTACAGTGCTGCTGCTAATAAGCTGCACGCCCAACTTGTACATGGAGCATCTTTAAACTCTCATCATCACTGAAATAAGCTCCTACACTGTCAGACATATGCTAAGTGGAACAAAATAGCAAAAAGAGAATCGCTGTTTCTATCAAGATTGGTTGATTCTTGGCTGTGTCTATCTTGAGATTAGCTTTGAATCTATTCTCTACGAACAAAACTGATCTTCCCAAAACATGGAACTTTTATCATAAGATGGTTCTCTCGGGTCTTCCCATCCTTGAAAACTATGTTTGCTTGCTTGTTCATCGTCCGTGTTGGGAGCTTGCTTTTTGGGTCCCAGGAGCTGAATCGTGGCTTAAACATAAACTGTATGGTGAGCCATTTGAGGATGCTGTCTTCTGTGATGGAAGTTTCTATCTTATAAGCAATGATTATAACATTTGGCAGATTAAGTCTGCTAATATCTTTGCTAGCATTAGAACATATGATGCTTATGAGGTAAAAATAGATTGTCATGAAATAATAATGTCTGAGGAGCAGGAAAATAGTGGTGTGTTGAAGTATCTTGTGGAATCTTGTGGGGAGCTGCTTCTTGTTTGTAGGCTTTATAACACCAAAGCAGAGGCTATTCTTGAAACACATGATTTCAAAGTATATTCATTGGATTTTAGCCTGATGTCCTGGAAGAGGGTACATGATTTGGGGGATAAAATCTTATTTCTAGGCAAATGTTGTTCGCGGTCTGTTTCTTCGACGGAACTTGGTGTTGCGATGAGGAATCGTATCTATTTCTCTAATGATCATGCTGCTCCATGGTGGAACGAATGGGATTCCGATCATCTTTATGGAATTTCAGCTAGGCTTAATCTGAACAATGCTGGAAGAAAGGATTGGGGCGTGTTCAGCCTTGGCAATGGAATTCATGAGGACTTTTGCTTTCGTGGCAATCGAGACAGATGGGGACCGATTTGGTTAACTTGCCCCCAATGGTGGTGCTGTAGGAAATTGGCTGTTAACCGATATAGTAACTAGTAAATGTAGCTCATCTATGGGGATCGTGGCATGGCAGGGATTCTCTTTTTCGCTATTTTGTTCCACTTAGCATATCACAGGGAAGGAGCTTATTTCAGTGATTATGAGAGTTTGAAGATGCTCCATGTACAAGCTAGACGTGCAGCTTATTAGCAGCATACCTTTTGTAAGTAGAAAAATATCAGACATATTATATTATAATTAGTGAAACATGTCCCTGCGTGGTCGGTGCTTGCAGTAATTATATTTTAGAATTTTGGCCGGATGCAAATCCAGCCTACCTTTACATTAACAAAGCTTTCTTTTATTCAAAGTTGTTTGGGCAATACCATCCCCGCCCCCATCCCAGTTTAAGAGGTTTCGGGAATTCTCGTCCCCTTCACCGTGCCCCTAGGGCCGCTAGGCTAGGGGGGCTATCCCCATACCCGCCTCGAATCCCCCATTTTTTGTATAAAATATATTAATCTTCACATTACATTTCAAAGCAGGACACTACCAGTGAATTGTGAGGGTCAGCCAATCGTGACGGAGGGCTGTATAACATTCATATTGCTACACAACAGTTGCGGTCCCGTTCAGTTTGTTTATGCCCCTTGTGAATATCAATTCTGGCATAGTCGAGAATAGTTATATTTTAGGGGACTAGCTAGTTTAACTATCTCTGTAAATTTTTTTTAAATTCAAGTTACTAAGAGCACTTCCACCCATTTGCCATGGCAAATGGAAAGGGGAGGCAATGGCATTTACTGTTCAAGTGAATAGTATCTGCCGTAGCAACATTTTTGTTGCTTTTCCATCCATTGTTATGGCAACCCAAAGACAATTACTACACATGGGATTAATTTTATTTATATGTATGAGTTTAATAATAAAAAAATTGCTAGGTAAGTATAAAAAATTATTATGAATTTTTTGGTAATATTTTAGAATTTTTTAAAAGTTTTTCTTCACTGACCTCATCGCTCGAGGTCAGGAGCTCGGGCTCATCTTGCTCAAGTTGGTGGCAAGCTCATCTTGCTCAAGTTGGTGGAACCCATATCTTGCCAGGGCAAAAATTGAGCGTTGGAACCATGATTGGAGCCCTAGGGGCCTTTTGCCTGGGCTGGGCTTCGGAGGTGAAAGTTCTCTATGCTCATAAGGGTGTCTTTACACAGAATGCCTTCAAGCATGCGAGGGTTTAAAGTCATTGAC